CTCCGCAAAGGTAACTACGCGGGGCGGGTGGGGGCTGGAGCGCCCGTGTACCTGGCGGCCGTGCTGGAGTACCTGACGGCCGAGATCCTGGAGCTGGCGGGCAACGCGGCCCGCGACAACAAGAAGACGCGCATCATCCCCCGGCACCTGCAGCTGGCCATCCGCAACGACGAGGAGCTCAACAAGCTGCTGGGCAAGGTGACGATCGCGCAGGGCGGGGTGCTGCCCAACATCCAGGCCGTCCTGCTGCCCAAGAAGACCGACAGCCACAAGGCTAAAGCCAAGTGAGCTCGTCTAAGACTGATTAGGAAACAAAACGGACAAAAAAGGCTCTTTTCAGAGCCACCCACAACGGTCATGAAGGGTTGAGTCACTCTTTGCAAGTTCCATTTCTTGTGGTGAATGCTGGCAGAAACACGTAAGCAGCTTTTTCTTGGAATGCTTGCTTTAACTGTGTTGCTTTTTGTTCCTAAGTTCTTCATTGAGAGGTGGTTGTTCTATGAAGGTTTTATTGTATGTTACTTTTTTAAAACTTTAATAAAGGGTTTTAATATTTTTGCTTATTTTAGAATTATTTCTTGTTCTATTTTTAATAAACTATGCTTTGAGAAAGTCTAGACTTCTTGAAGGTGTCAGCAGTGGCAAGCGTGTTTTTTGTATGACAGTGGAGTAAGCATTGCATCTGCTTAAGTGAACTCCGGCTTTGCTGTGATTGCTGTGTGCAGTGTGTATTCGTAGTATAAGCCAAAGTCTGTATCGATCCAGATTACTTCTGTTCTGTTGGAGAGTATCAAGAGTAGTTGATCGCTGTTGCAACTCAGGGCAACGCAAAGGGGGGGGGGGGGGAATGAAAGCAAAGCTCTCAAACACAAAATAAAACCCCTAGGAAGTCACGCAGTCCCGGCAGTGATCCCGAACCAATTCTTTCGCAACAGGAGGGATGTTCCCTGCCTCAGGCCCCTGGCTGATTGCCATTCTTCATGGTGCTTTAACGCTATCACGTGAGAGAGTCCCCCTGGCTTTCCTTGGCAGAATTAACTGCAGAGGACGGGGGAAGGGTTTCAGGCGGGGCACGGTTACCGGTGTCAGCGAGCCGCCGCGGTGACGGCCGCTGCGTGACACTGGAAAAAAAAAGCACCGTGGCTTTTCAGTTCGTTTTTCTTGCATTACGAGCTAGATCTGCCCCTCTTCTCCAGGACCAGGAACTCGAAACTCCCGGAGAGTTTCCCCACCTCGTTTAGGGAGAAGGGCGAGTGGCGCTGAGATCTCCTACCGCTGCGGCAGGGCACAGGGTTGCCTTAAGGTCGTTTCTCTGCTTTGGTGCTGCCCCTGCTTGATTCGTATTTCCTTTTGGCTTTAGCGGGGCTTCTCGCTGCTTTTTTTTTTTTTTTTTTTCAGCCTTACACTCTTGTGCAGGCTCTTGGCCGGAGAGCCCGCCAGGTTTTCGACTTTCCTGGGGCTCTTTTTTGCGCTCCGTGGAGGCGAACGCTGCCTTGGCGATCAGCTCGGTGGCGCCGGAGCAGCAGGAGCAGTTTTCAACATGACCGCAGTTTTCCCCATCTGTTGTCTTCCAGTACTGGGCTAACATATCCATGGACCTGGTGTTCACTGAGTTTAGTTTTCCTAAACCTGAGTCGGTAACAAGTACACACGTGTACAGGGAAGGGAAGTCTCTACTCCCCTCTGTGTCTGCGTTAATATATATGAAATCTGTCATTCACATAATGAAACTGTCATTGGCATATCGGAACCACTGGGGACTGTAGCAAAAATGGAGAAGGGTCCTGTGAAAGCCCCTAGGTACATGTGCATCCTCTCCATGTCGTGGGAGAGGATTTACTTTCTAGTTTCCTCCCTTTTCTATAAAGGGGGGGGGGGAAGACAGAAGTGTTTCACCAACTTCTGTTGACTGTTCCTTTTTTCTCCTGATTGAAATGTGTTGTTAAACAAGATCCCACATAATCTCAGCAGAGGGTTTCGCTCGCTCGCTCCCTCTCCTTCTGGGAAGCCGCGATCAGTGCCATCGGCGCTTGATTATTTGCAAACGCTTCTCGCTTCTTTTTTTTTTTTTTTTTTTCAGCCTTACACTCTTGTGCAGGCTCTTGGCCGGAGAGCCCGCCAGGTTTTCGACTTTCCTGGGGCTCTTTTTTGCGCTCCGTGGAGGCGAACGCTGCCTTGGCGATCAGCTCGGTGGCGCCGGAGCAGCAGGAGCAGTTTTCAACATGACCGCAGTTTTCCCCATCTGTTGTCTTCCAGTACTGGGCTAACATATCCATGGACCTGGTGTTCACTGAGTTTAGTTTTCCTAAACCTGAGTCGGTAACAAGTACACACGTGTACAGGGAAGGGAAGTCTCTACTCCCCTCTGTGTCTGCGTTAATATATATGAAATCTGTCATTCACATAATGAAACTGTCATTGGCATATCGGAACCACTGGGGACTGTAGCAAAAATGGAGAAGGGTCCTGTGAAAGCCCCTAGGTACATGTGCATCCTCTCCATGTCGTGGGAGAGGATTTACTTTCTAGTTTCTAGACTGTAGAAATTCAAGAGGACAAACTTTTGGATTTCTTTCCCTCATAAACCAATGTTCTGGTATCAACAGTGCAAATGCAACACTAGAGAAGATAGTTATTCCTCTTATTTCCCTGTTGCACAATACGTTTAGGCATTATGTAGCTCTAGTTTCAAATCACATACCTGGAAAACAGAGCCTTAAAAACCCGATAGGGCTATGTGAGGTCTAAACTGTGAAGGGCTACAAGGCCTCAAACACAGATCATGCAGCCAGACGCTTCCATGACGATGCTTCATCGATGTGGTTTACAAAAATTGGGATAAGCGGGCAGATTGGTTTTGAAAATATATATATATTTCTCAACAAGGCGAGTGAGAACACCTATCATCTCCTGTAAATGGCTCAGGCAGATTCCCGGTTATTTCTTTCTCAGTTTTGTGAGGGCAGAATGGGAGAGGAAGGTGAAAACGCGTGTTGTCAGGAGACAAAGAGAAATCCCCCTCCTCGAGCCCGTGTGGTTATCCAAAATTAATGTTGCTGTAGAATGTGCCTTGAAAAGCCCTACCCTATTTATGCTTTTGTTTAGTTAATAGGTTACTAAAGTAATTGAAAAGGAGAGAAGCTGATGTATTATTGTATTATTGTCTTGATTAGTAAACCATGAAGGGTTACTTAAGATGTGCCAAGGACAAAAACTAGGGGAAAAGTAATTCAGGCAAGGGGAGATCACGACCACCGATTTAAATGGAAGCCAGAAGAAACTACCCCTCACCCTTCCTTGAGCATGCGTAGTAAATTAAAATCAGATGGTACCTTTAAATTGAGGCGAAGAAATGATGAACCCATGAGAGATACGTATGATCAGCTAATGTAATGATTATTAATTAGCTATGTTAATTGTAATGTATAAAAGTTAGAGCAAGCCTTGCTAAGGGTGCTAGCTTTGTGGGAGGCCACCTAGCACCCAAACTCGCGCAACTTTGCGAATAAGCGATATCCCGCCTCGGTGTGTGAAGACTGGCTTACTGCACACCGGGTAAACTGTTTGGGACGAGCGGTGTGAGTGAGGCAAAAGGCGGCGCAGCCCCCGGCGCCCCTCCCGCCGGCTCCCGCTCCGGGCAGCTCCCGCGCACGCCGGGCAGCCCCCAATACCCGCCCCTCCCCACACCCCGCGCTTGAGGAAAGGGGGACGTGCGCTGTTTCGGACGACGGACCGCAGAAATGGCACCCGGACTGAGGAGCAGGCTGGGCATGGAAACGAATTCATTGTGTCTGAATTGGATATTTTTTTTATTTTTTTTTGCGTTGGCCGTTCTACTCCTTGGGCGAGGGAAGCAGAAAAGGAACCAAAACACTCACAGGGCTTATCATGTCTCCCAAGCGGTATTGGCTCTGCTGTGGGATTTAATCCCACGAGTTGAATCTGGGTGGGTTGACGGAGGAGAGCTCGGGCTGGAGCCGCGTTACCTCGTGGCTGCAGCGGGCGGTGGGTGTCGGAGTGGACGGGCCCCACCGGGACCCCTCGTTTCTCCAGCGGCGACGAAACCCGCCGGGTTCGTCGGTCCGGCCGCAACAAGCGAAGATTTTCCTGCTCCCCACGCCGGTGCCAGAGACGGGGATTTAAGGAGTGACCCGCCTCCGGGGGTGGGGAGGAGCTGAGGTCCATTGCGGACGAGTCGGAGGAGGGAGAGCGGTGTAACACGGCCTCATGCGAGGAGAAGCGGGGAGGGAGGCCGGGCCGGGCGGAGAAGAACGACCCGGGGGGATGGGGGGGTTGGACGCTGAGGGGGCCCCGCTGCGCTGCAAGAGGCGCCTGGGAACGGCGCGGGGAAGGTAAAGAAAAGGGTCGGATATCTCCGGGGAGGGCAGAGCAGCGCCCCGGATTTTTAAAATCCAGAAGCAAGCTATTCCCTTTTCTCTGTTTCACCGATTAAAGTATTTTCAACTCTTTCGTTGTCAAGAAATAAATGTGCAGGATGAGCGGAAGAATCCGCATTATTCAGTTGGGATAGATGTTGTAAATAAACCCCAGTTCTAAAGCTCCCTGCTGTCCCCTGTTTATACCCGGTACCGTTTCCTGCTTTTTTTTTTTTCATGCAAGTGTTCTCAGGTGGAAAATGCTGTCAAAGTGAAAAAAGAGTAGAAGTTTTATCTGCCTTCATGGTGTTGTGAAAAGGGTTAATCGCTCTGATGGTCTTTATCAACGTTTTGGGAACCCTCATTGTTTGATTTTTTGTCCCGTCAATAAACGCACAATTAGAAGCTGCTGTGATGAGTCTGACCACACGTACACGCCCCGTGACATTTAAGTATCGGTTAAGGCTAAAACTCCAGGAGGTAAATATGCCTTACACCCATGTGACCACTTCACTTCTTCCGTGGGATTGGTACCAGCGATTTCAAAAGGAAGAGCACGGGAGGCAGCCAGCCCTATTTAAAGCCGTATTTCGATGTGTAGAAAGACTGGGGCTATGTCATTGTTGTGGCAAATCTTGTCCTCTTTTCTTAGTGGGATGATTAAAGACACTAACCTTGCTGTGTCCCAAGCACACAAGGAAAAAAAAAACCCTTTATCACGTGGAGTGTTCAGATTGTTTCGCGTTGCAGCGGCTGCTACTTGCTACAAAAGGGGCTGCATACAATATGTGCGTGCATTTCTTCATAGCTCTGGTGCTGCACAAAGGTAGTCTCCTTTGTCTGAAGTCCAAATTCCAGCTGTAATTCTCCATGTGTGCCCTCTTCTTAATTTGGGAATAGCTTCTTCCATTTTCCTATGACCCTTTAAAGTACAAGATCTACATGCAATACAAGTAGGACTACAACTACAAAAAGATTGTGGATTTTACTGGCAATGAAAATTCCAAACTGTTGTGATACTCCTTTCACACACAAACTACTTCTTTTTTAGTTTTAAAATGCAAGAATGTCCAGAAT